GAGTTCTTAGTTTTGCAATATTTTCTAACCAAAAAATGTCRCTAGGGTATAGCAAAAAGGCTGGCACTTGTAATAGCAGAATTCAAGAAAAATAAATTATAGATTTTGTTAAATTATAAATTTGATTTCTGTGGAGATGATGGGGAAGAATGAGGTGGTAATTTTCTTAAAACAGCAGAACTTTACATTAGCTGTGTTAATCTATCATTGCCAAATTATGATATTTACAGGAGAGAAAGTGTTTGAATTTATGGCTATACTTTTTCTTGCTTTTCTGTTTCTGTTTCCTTTGCTTTTCTGTTCAGTTCAGTTGAAATTTTTTGAGCATTGTTTTCTTTGCACTTTGCTCTCCTCAACAAAATGTTGACATCTTGTCAAAACCTAACTTTCAAAATGATATCTTATCAGTGAGGCTGGGAAACTTTGGCTAAGCTAATGAAAAAGAGAGTTTGGTTTCCTCAAAGTCTTTGGCATCCTGGTGTGTCAGTCCTGAAGTGCACTCTCTGCAGTGAAAAAGCAGAAAAGATCAGGCTCGAACATCTCTGGTGTTATGATGCATCCAGCAGCAGATTTATTTTCCTAATAATTAGTAACCAYCGATGAGATACCGTTGTAATGCTGAGGATTTAGCATCAATCTTGTTGACAAGTTATTACAGTTATCTACATGAAAATACTTTTATCTATGTCTTTTACATAAATCCCTGGAAACAGGCTGATATGTTTTAATMGTTTTCTTTAAGGCTTTATTTGCACCTGCCTAAAACAGCATTTACTTTACTAAGTCACTTAAATAAAAAGAAATAATCCAGATTTATGATGTCTTGTGAAGCCTAATTCTGCCCTCTTCTGCATATATAACTTATTATAACTATTCCTTGAAGAGCTATTGCTTTGTGCCACAAGACTTTTATATCAAATATGCAAASCACTTAAATGTTCTTTCTCTCTTTCTTTAAGATACCTGGGCTCTTTTTCTASGAAATATTAATTTGATATGTTATGTGCAGATTCAGAGCTTCACAAAAGAGCTGGAYCCTCATTCCTTGCACCAAAGAGATGTGGAGATGGATCACAGAAATTTGTTATTTCTAGCCCCTGAGTGATGAAAGGAGTGGTATAAGCTGGATCAGTGTCCCTCTGCTGAGCAGTGTGGCAAAAAACTCCTGAGGAATTGAAGGTCTGGAAGTGGATCTAACCACTGACCATTGACAAAAGTCAGAAAAAAAGGCCTTAAGATTTTCTTCCTGGACAAAACCWCTCCCAGACTGTCAAGAGCAAAAGAGCTTTGCATGAATATCACTCATTTCAAGTATTTCTTATCTACATGTGTTGCTAAAAAATTATCAAGTTAAATTTTAACAAGATGGGTGTAGAGCTTAATTATTTTATTAAAGAGCTACATAAACTTGCTGTGCATCATCACACTTCATATCTCTATTATGAAACCTCTGCAATACCCAAATATCCACCAAAGATTTTTCCATTCTGAGCGTTTCATYGGGCTGTATGGGGTGGGCATGACTAAAGATTGCCTGTTACCATACGGTGAGTGCACAGAGCTCATCAGCACTGCTAATGGTCACAGTCTGTCCCATGGTTTAAGCAAGCATTATTTTCCAGTGAAAAGAATGKCTTTGAAGACTATTGGCATTCTAATGGCAGGGGTTTGTATAAAATCTCCCTTTTAAATGCCGTGATCTGTTGACCCTTGTTTTGATTTCAGTCTGAGGACAGACTTCTAGCTGTCAAAACGAGGAAAGGTAGAAAGGGTGGTTGAGAGAGTGACCATAAAGCATTCTCTTTTTTATGTATGTTTAAAAGGTGGACTACAGCCAAATTGCCTTGTGATAAGATTATGCTTCATTTGGTTTCTTTTCTCCTTCCCTGTGATGTGCTTATATAAGCCTTGAGGATATTAAAATATACTTTGACCCTTCACTTCATAATGCAAGAGGAAGATTAGACTCTTTCTCCAAGAGTGGTGGCTTGAAGCAATAAAAAGAGTGTACGTAAATAAACCTCCAAAAGAAATTTCTTTGATAGACGACTCTTGACAATACAGAAAACCTTTGAATGCACCATCTGAAGCACGGAAGGAATTTCTGTCTCACAGATGAGCGCATTCAAAAGAACCATAACAAAATAGGGCACTACTTTTTTTTTTAAGAGGAGAAAGTTCTGCTTTTGACTTATAGAATTATGTGGTGCTGGCTTTCAGTAAAAGCTATGTARCAGATTGCATTGCAGTATATTTTTTTTCCAAGAACTCTCCTCAATAGTGAAAGATAGAGAACTTCTGCTTTTGACAGAATGCAACCATACAATGACCTAGTCCTGACCTAAAGAGATCATCTCATCTTGTCCGAAGACAACTTCATATCCATTTGTCCTTTCAAAGAAAAGGCACAAAAAACAGGACTTCTAAAGATTGAGTGTATAAATACAGCCGGAACTGACAGCCCATCACACAGGGCACTAGCCTGGAACCCTTCAGGAGAGAAGTAGCCTGTGCATGTATTGGATGTGTGTTTCCTTTGGTGGCACACACCATATTTTATGTATGCTTGCTTTAATCAGTCAAAATATTTTCAGATATATTTACAGAGGAGAATGAGAAAATATAATGAAAGAAAATATGATTGAGAGAAAAACAGCAAGTGAAATTTAATGATGATGGGATGTGGAATAATTTTAGTGACCAGTGTGCAGTAATAAGTGTTCACCTGTAAAGAATTCAAATACACTTTGAATCATTAAATCAATAAATATTAAATGGATTTGTTTCTATTTCTAATGATGCACCATGTTACAGTAACTCCCTTAAGCCTACAWATCTATCATTTCAGACAATATTCCCATAACTGAGGTCAGTTTATTTGAACATGGCTGATGTCTGCAATCTTCTTTCAGGAACAGGCTTAGTGTGTGTGTATGTGTGTCTGTGTGTGTAGAAAAGACATGAAACAATTGAAAAGAGAAAGAAAGATATGCCTCCACTTCTGGAGGAGATTGAAACAGCTGCTTAAAAGACCCTTGTCACTTTTGGTGGAGTTTAGAAGAAAGAGCTGAGAGCGATTTCTTGCCCACTGAAAGTACTTCTAGAATGCAGCCAGGGAGAAAGTAATTTTACCAGTAATTTTACAGTTTGGTCAGTTTAGAAGTTATAATGGCATTTCATAAAGACCTATGTGTCTATTTTTAAGCAATAAAGTTTCTTAATGCTTCTTCTCTTTGAATGGACCACTTCAGATTCAAAGGATGGTGGCTCTTTATAACATTTGACAGTAATGCTACTGAGCAGCTTTTCCCAGAATGGAAAATCAAAGTGGAAGAAGGAATAGTAGAAATGTCTTCCTTCTGATTCTGATATCAGTTTTACCTTCTTTTCTTCCTTCATCTTCAATCACAAAATAAGAATATTTAAACCCAAGACAAAGGCAGTCTGCTTCTTTCAATATTTTTTCTGTCCTCCAGTTTTCTTCCCTTCTGTTCCACTTTCTCCCTCTCCCTTCTTTAAATACATCAAGTGGAAGTGTTGCCAGTTTACTGAACTAGTAATGTTGCTCTCAGAGCTGCCTGTGTGACTCGTGAAACWTTTGATCAGGACAGGGAGGACCAGATGAATTTCCTTTGAGGCATATATTTCTACCTTTAGCTGTGATGGTTCTTCAAAAGTAAAGCTGCTGTTTCACCTCCAATGCATATCTATAGTGTTCAAAAGGCAGCCAGGGAACTTTCACTCGAAAATTTAAATTATAAATCTTAACTGTGACCTTCTTAACTGTGCCCAGTTCTTTTTCAAAACTGGAACCTTCAGAAGACAACACAGCAGAATTGATTTGCTGTTCCTAAGAACCCCTCCAAAGCTCAGCTGATCATTTGGCAGTAGTCAGTTGGGGCAGCAGTGGTCCAGGGAAGCAGTCCTGTTCCTTTTTATGAATTAAAATAGACTTGTACTTGTAAATGAATGCCAAAAATAGTATATTGTGAAGCAGCAGATTGTGGAAGTGTAAAGACACATTAAAAGTGTATTTTAAACTTTCTAGTGGTACTTATGTCTCTTATAAATAATATTAGTAGGATGATGGTGGATGGAGGTAGTTAGCATTGATACCCAAAAACTGGAAGGGAAAAAATCTGGTACTGGGCTAAGTTACCCCAGAATGGATGGGATTGGGATCGAGAATGTTTGCATCTAGGCATTAAATATTTTCTTGTTCCAAGTAGTGTTAATAGGAAACATGGATGATGTCATTAGAGTTGAACAACATATTTTGCAAGCAGAATGTGATGCAATTGGGGGGAAAGTAAGAATTTATTTTAAGCTGCATAATTATGCACCAGGTGTGGACAGAAAAACATTGACAAGAATTAAAAATATTGTCAAACTCAGCATTGTCCCAGTTTCAACTGCCCCTTCAGTTTTAAGAAAGTGAACATTAAAGGAAGATAGCTGATATTAATTTTGGAGATGAAGTATGCTATTATATATCTCACCATTTGTAAGATGCAATGAGTTATTCTATTTCTGTTCTAAGTCTGCTATCTGATTAGTTTAAATATCTTTATTTAGTGGAATGATGCTGTATCAGATCTTCTGTCAAGAGGTTTTTAATCAGTATCAAGTCAGATGATTAAGGTAGGATGATTCTATAACAGACACAAATGCTTCACTGCCAAGTTAACAAAGTGAAAGCTATTCCAGAAAATAAGCAACATCAGTTGAGAGTTCAAAGGAAAGAATGGTTTTACAGGAATAAGCAGCTTCATTAAWCTCTATTAATGATCCCTGTAGATAAATTTTGCATTTAAATTAATGTCTTGCTTCTGGAGAAAGCAGTATTACACAGCTACAAYCAATGATGCAAAGAGATTTACATGAGCTGAACATCTGTGATTCCCTGACTACTGACCTCCAAAATAAGCAGTTCACTTTTTTCCCCCCTCTCCCTGCTAAAAGACAGCTGTTTGAATTAAATTCATTCTTTATCCTTGCAGGGTCTTCATTCTGGTGCTTACTGGATATTGTTCCTATAAAGAATGAAAAAGGAGATGTAGTACTCTTTCTGGCCTCTTTCAAAGATATAACAGACACAAAAGCGAAGATTGCTGCAGAAGACAAAAAGGAAGGTTTGTGTGAATTGCAAAATATTGACAAGAATGAACATTTATATGTTTTTAAGAATCACACCTGCATGAACATTCTCTCTTGTGTATACTTTTCAATATAGAGACCTCCTAGCTTTCCAAAAAAGAAATTAATATATGACATAGAAT